GGTTCACACACACACACACACACCTGGCCGAGCCTTGAACTTGGTGTCCGCTTTGCCCACAAGTCCTCCACCCTCTGGAGACCACGATCTCGAACGAGATCGCTGCTCTTCCTTGTCGCCAACTACGAGTATGGCGGGATTTGAAAGACAGTGCAAGCCATCTAAGTTATCTCCTTCTTTTTCTGCTGCGCCATGGCCAGGCCAGGAAATCGGATGGCCATTGACAGCTTGCGAGCAGCTTCAATTCCTGGGCTTATAAGACTTGTGCCTGCACTTACTGGATCTTCCTCGCGAATGAGTGCAGCTGCAGGGCGTTCTTTCTTTAGTCGCGCTTCCTTCTCCTCCTCCGTCTCGTTTGGAGGAGCTTCCTGCTTTTTCTTTGATGGGCTGGGAGAGCGCGCTCGGCCTGGAAAACGCTCCACATTCGCCACCTACTTATTCAAATGTTTTCAAAGCGGGGCCTGAAGCAACCTTCTCGTAGAACTGAAGCCACTTCTCCCAGTGCTCATCTGCTTTGAGAGTGTGAGAGTTTCCCACTACCACCCTTAGATGCGGCGTTTGAAAGCCAAAGACATCATGCTATGCGCACTAGCACTAGCACGAGCAGCGACCGCTCCTACGGTCCTACAATCAATCCAGCAAGGTGGCATTCCTCGTCGTGCCCGTGTGAGCATGACATTTAATCGGCGCCAGTCAGCCAAGAAGCCAACATTTCCGATCCTGCAACTCTTACGTGCACTCACCCCACCGGTTGTTGCATACGAGGTTTCCATTAATTACCAGCCAAGGATGCTGCAGCGGCAGTGGAAACATCTCGGGCCTGTTGCAGCGGACCGCTGAGAAGATAATCAGATCCTTCTCACGACCCTGGAACTGATCCACGGAGGCAATCCTGGGAGCGGCAAGTGACAGGAGCGAACTTGGGCCATGTTAGCACTCTGCCTCTTGGAAAAACAAGTATTTCATTAATGCCACTCAAGCCTCTCCAAAAGTTCTGGGTCCATCCCTTCCGGTATGACTTGCTTGCACATCCTTAGGACAACAAAGCTTCAAAGCTGACTGTGTGCAGATGTGTACAGCATGTCTGGACGTGAGCATGCGACGAAACATTTCCTGCCCCCCCTACCGATCTAGTATGGCCTTGTTTGTCGTCAACTATCGGAGGCGGAGCTAGTCTCTACCTAAGGTTAGATATCAGCATCCACCACACATTGTGTCCTTTTTTAGTCTGACACTATCTACACCGCCTGTGTCTGTATAGGCTTGAAGTCTTCTGTGGATGGCTGGCCTTTGATCTCATGGCCCAATGTCACTGTGGAAGGTTTTGCCACCAAGCAATACTGCAGCAGATGTGCTGCAGCTTTGTAGCAGATTTGCAAGGGGACAGCTGAAAAGGAGGGTGTGGCTTCTCTACTGGAATCTAGACTTCCTACTCAGCAACTGCCCACCCTACTTGCACAAAGCCTCTGAAGCATCCAGAAGCAAAGCTGAGATTGAGTCCGCTTCAGGAGCCGCACCTGCGCAACATACGGGGTCACAACCCCGATCTCCGTAATTTCCAGCTCGCGCTGGAAAAAGGAGTCCTGGGGCAAGCGGCAAGCGGATCCCATCTCCAAGCTTCAACTCGCTGCATTCAATATCAGACCCCGCGCCTGGACGAGTCTCTGTACAACCTCCGCTTCCGTGGGGTTAAATTTCGACTCGCCCTCTTCCTCCTCGCCGCCGTTGGACTCGATGAAGGCAATGGGCGATTGGTAGTTGGGCCACGGCAGACCTAAGTAGCAAGGCAGAGGGGCTTCATGCGGCTCTGAGAGGCATCAGTTGACCAGATGCACATCATGACAGGGACAAACCCAGCGGCCACGGATCTGCTTTCGGTCCTCGCCTCTAATGCCGGACTTTAGCCTTGGGGTTGCTGGTCTCAACGCAGGACAACTTTACAAAATGGCAGCATGATGGATGCATCCATGCCGCTTTCCAGCGTAGAAAGTCCGAGCTGAGAACTGGCAGGGGCAGGGCAAGGCTTAGGCGAGATCATGCAGTGTAGCGGCGCAACATGATGAGCAGGACTACCCCCAAACCCATTTGCAAATTACAACTCATAACGCCGCAGTCATGCGGATGTTAGATGCCGGCTCCCTTCCTCGGCGATGACGGGATGACTTCGGTACTGCGTGTCTAGAAGGAAAGGCATCAGCCCACCCGAATCCACCATTCCTTACTGCTGCTCACGGAGCTGCTCTGCCCTTTTAATAAGTAGGGGGCCTGTATATGGGGATCATGTAAATGTCAAGCTGGCATGGTCTTGCATCCCAAGCTTCGCGAATAAAGCGACAGCGAGAGGCCTCTCTCCTCTGCCTGTGCTCAAAGGTGCGCTTATCAACTGAACCTTCCAAACTTGACGCAAAGCTCCCCTTCAGCCAGATCCTATCCAAATGGCCTCGCTGGATTGCACTGTTGGAGGTAGCTGACACTGGTCACCCACCAGGACCAAGCGCTGCGAGCCTAGCGAAGCATGCGAAGCTTTGAAGGAGCCAGCTTTAAGCTGCCTCTCTCTCACATCTCTCACTCCCTTCCTGTCAGGATCTGCGCGCCTCGGAGGATGAGTGGCACAATTGCTGCTAGCTCCGTGGCTTGGGCCGCCTCATCGATCAAGACCCCCGCGAAGGCGAACTTGGAAAAGAAATCGCCACCTGCAGGGGTTGCTTGGCTAACCTCGTTTTGAGCCGCGAGAGGGTGCTGGCCTGAGGAGATCGTGGTCGTGCATATCACATCCGCATCCTGCAGAATTATCTTCATGCGCTGATGTTCTTACCGAATAAGCTGACACCCAGCCCAACAAAAAGCACGAGGCCTGCAGAATTCTCATCTGGAGCTCAAAATCGTTTTTGACATTGCCCTTGCCTTTGCCTTTTCCCTTGACCTGCCACTTAACTCTCACGCTGCGAGATTAAAAGGTGGGCACTCTGTCGAAGCGAAACAAGTCTTGCATCAAGCCACTCGGCGCGGACCAGACTTCGACCTGGACCTGGGAACATTTAGCAGAGCCAATGCATTTCCTTGGATCGAGTGCTCTCTTGCCTGGACCGTGAAACCTTCTTCCGCTGCGGGCTCCCGGTTTTGGACCGAGATCGAGATTTGAATCTCGCTTCGTACTGCCTCATAGCTGTTGTAACAGGCCCAGTGACAGGCCTTGGACCAATTGAGGAAGCACAGGCGCCTGTTCTTCATTTCCTCCTTTTCCTTGTCCAGCAAACACTCCAACCTGAAACACGATCAACTTTGTGGCTTTATGTGGTTTTGCTCTGCGGAACTCATCCACGTACCTTGCAGCCGAGGCACGTGATCTCCTCCAGGATTCGGTTGATCTTGTCTGGGCGTCCAACTCGTACTGCCCGAACACCCTCTTTCCGGAGACCAATGGCGATGTTATCCACAGCTGGGTTACCTCAGATTCGCATCACGGAGCGTTTATTGGGGAGGGAGCTGTTCAAGTTCTGTCAAAGAGGCTGTCAGAAGTGGCCAGCAGAGGTGAAAGGTCTAGGGTCTTGGACCACATCTTCATGATTTGGACAGACACCTGAGCCAAATTCACTGCTCTCAGCTTGCATAGCTTGCAGCTCAAGAAGGCCAGCAGACCCTTGCAGCTTGGCTACGTGGGTCTTACCTGTGCCAGGCGGGCCCTGGATGACCGTACACGTCGTTCGCAAAGCAGAGCGCCTGAAATCAAGAGCTTGTGCTGGAGGGAAAGCCGCAGTCATGTGATGTCATGCGGCCACCATGGCCACAGATTCAGAATGATTCAGAAAAGTTACACCGCATCCCGTTGCGACTGGTTGAGATGGGACAGCGTCTTCACTTCCTTCAGCGCCTTGTCCTCGAGGCCAGCAGGTGTGGAGAAATCTGATGTGGGAGGCGTACCAAGGACTCTAGTATACCAACTTCTGTAGTGGTTTGCAGCAATGCAGGCATTAGTGTGTCGTTCCAAAAGATAGGTGTCCCTTCATAGGTAATAAGGATGTATTTTTTTTATCATATTGGGGTCGAAATGGGGCCCACTGCTTTGTGGAAGTTACCTGCTGTTGGACATTATCGAAGGCAAGCGACCAACTTGTCAGACTCGCATCCGCCAGGATTCAACCGAGCAAGCTTTGCTGCCTGCATGGGCCAGAAAACCACAAATCCAAAGCTGCTGAAACCAGAAGGAGACCTCTGCCAAGTATCCACAAAAGACACACACAACACTCAATGAAGAACCTCCTTCTCTCGCAGTACATCTTTTTCAGCTTGTTCCGCAGCCTGCAGGACAGCAGGCGCGCAGCCGTGGTCGCTATGGTCGCTTCTGTGCAACATCGAAGTCAAGCCACCTTTGCTGCCAACTCCTTATCTTCCTCCGTGACTCCTTGACCTTTTCTCCATTGTTTGGCCCAGCTGTCTGCCAGACCAACCTTCGCAGAAATAAGGAGCTCTGGCCTCAGGTGGAGGTGGACTCAGCTGAAGACTCTTTTGGCATCATCCGAGGCTCAAGCACGCGCGATCGATCCTGCCATGCTTCAGCTCCAATCCACAAGGCACAGATGGGCTGCTGCAGGGCACCTTGTTCACGAGATTTAGCATGGCCTGCAATTGGCGCTCATAAAGGGTGCTGTTCGCTCCCTTGTCGATGCGCCATCGCCGGGCCCTTGGTGAGAGGTTGCTTGTAAACAGATATGCCCCTGGGCTTCATTCAAACCGCTCTGCATGACATGCTCGACGTCAGCAGGTGCCAACGAGCTTTGAGCGCACGGCATTGCATCATCTGGCCAGCAGCCGCGAAGACGGACAATCATCTTGCTCTCGCCGTCGCGGCCACGAGGCAACCTTGGAGTACCGCGACTCGGCGTTGGTGAATTGGTGATGCGATGCGCAGAGGCTGAGCTGAGAAGCTGGATGTCTGCAATGAAGCCTTCACCCAACTTCTCCAAGGCCTCGCCTTTCACCCGAACCTGCTGTCTGGACTCGCCTTAGGACATGTACAACTTGCTGGTAGCCAGCGAATGCGTCTCAACACGGCCAGGCAGCTAATGATGACAGAATCGCCGCGCTTGAATTTCAAGCGATCGAACCTGAAAAGCGGGAATTAGCGTGGCCAGCAAGAGCTTTCTTTCTGCTGGGTGGAAATCATGAGTCAATGAGGGGAGGTGGTGGCAACAACATGTCAAGGTGCTGCGTGTTTGGCGGAAGCTGAAGTGTTCCCATCTCACTCCCAGGATCTTCCCAGCCTAAGTTGGCCGCGAGGCAAAAGTGCTCACCTCAAAAGACGTCAACAGGCTACAGCCGGGACACCGATGATCGTGGTCTTCTTTGGATCACGTCTGCCGAAAATGCCGATGCCTGTTTAGTAGGAATGTAAATCAATGATCCCACAGACTGTATCATGAACTTGTCAGGCTGCATGGGAGACCGTCCAAGCACCAGCCCAATCGCTGGAGCTCAGCATCTTGCATTGTCTCGGTGCGCCGCCTGACCACGAACGTGTTTGAGGTTGCGTGATCCACCATGGCAACCGTGGCGTCTACAAAAGCCCCAAGTACTAAATGCCCAGTCATCATCAAAATCATCATCACCTATTCTCATCTACCCCTACATAACTCCTATAGGAGCGCTTGGTTCCTGGTGCATTTGATTGCTCTGCCTGATTTGGCGGAGCTCCTCCATGTGCTCGAGATGCATGAGCATACAGAAATGTCCGAAGTACTCGGACGCCATGACATTCCTGGGTGAGCGCGCGCTGATTTTCATTCTAACAACAGCTTTGGAGCAAAAGCTGCCGAGCTGCTTGTCTTTGACTCGAAGACGACCCTTTAGCTTGTTCCCGTCTAGCTGCTCCAAAGCTTTCGAAGCCTGCAACACGCCAGAAGGCACAAGGAGGTTCTGCCGTGGCCGCCCGGCCTCGTGCTTTCTCTTCTTCTGATAAGCTTCCTGACAAGCTGTGCAATGCCAAGCCAAAATCATATAGGCACCGGGATTCCAGTTAGACGTCTGCTCTGCAGCTCAGAATCGTCGTTAGCTTGCTTCGGATCAATGATGTTCACCTAGCCATAGCCGGAACACTCAAAAAACTCCTAAAAGTTCCTGCTACATTCAGCCAGGGCGCTGGATCTGGGAGCTTCTGACGGTCGCGAATAACAAACCAACCGCCTGTGGGCGGGCCTTTGGTGTCGCGGCCATTCCAGGCCAAACCAGGGCCTCATTGCAAGCAACATGCCTTTTTGGAAGGTAACTTCCAGCAAAGCGCGCCTGTGCAGGTATTTTTACTGATCCACCAGCCGGTGTTGATGCCATTCCTGTCCTTTACGCATGTGCTTCAACTGCCGGTTCGTTCTCTGCCAGCATGCATGCTCACAACTATTTCCACAGTCCTTCTTGTAGTGAATGACCATGACTTCAATAGTGATGTCATCATCATCCAACATGTGGGGCATCAGCAGCCGCTTCATCTCGTTTGAGTCGTGCTTGCCTTTGCCTGCCGGGAGCTAGCTCTTTAGCTTGTTTATAGCATCAGCCAATGCATTCGAGGGCGTGCCTTTTCCTTTGCCCTTTCGATTTCGGACTTCTGCCTTCTTCTCGAACACAGGGCGGCCGTGCGCCATCAAATCTGATGAGCGCTCCTTACGTCTGAAGGGAAGTACTTCATGGCCAAGGAATTACACTCAAAATGGTGCAGGGAAGTGGCGTACTTGCCGTTTAGTTCGGGTCTGGCTTTGCATTCCTGGGTACATCCACAAGCTGCACAGTTCTTTGCGAGGCACATGCAAGCGGCCTGGCCTGAACGAGAATTACACGCCGGTCTGCCCCTCGGCGGTCTTCCTCGTCATCGGTGATGACACCTAAAGCGTCCTCAAGATCCTGTGCCACCATCCTGGTGCAGTGAGAAGACCCTAGCCGCACAGGAATGCACAATGCACGCTACAAGCTGACCACATCTGGCCGTTGCCTCTTCTCATCATCATCGTAGTCATACCTTAGGCCGAGGTGCTGAGGCGGGTTTCTTGCAAGCATGACTCGCCGAGTTTGACAAATGAGCCATAAGCCCGCACAACGTGGTTGACTCGCCAGACTCATGTCTGCGCACATTTCGTTCAAGACTCATAAACTCCTTCTCTAACATGTCGACAACACGTCCAGAGACTCAGGACACTGCTTGGCTAAAGCTAATCGTTGACCCGCGGAAAATCTCACACCTTGCAGCCTCATTGCCAAGTCATTCCTCACCGGCAGTTGGGCACACGCACTAGCATCGCCAGCGCATGTGTTTGTCAAAGACGTTGTTCATGGTTGTGCAATTCTCGAACAGCAGACAGAAGGATCAACTCAAGGAAGGCACTGGCACTAATGCCAGCACATCTTCACTCTAGCTTGCTCCTTCTTTCGTTCAAGCGGCTCATCCTCTGTGCCTCCTCTGTGCGAGATGCACAGCTGCTGTCGCTGGTCATTTGTCTTTTGCTAGTGCTTCTGCAGCTTACTTTTTCAGAGTAGCTATGATGAGCGGTAGACCGCTCCAGGCGAATTGTCAGGTCATCCGACTGCGCTCAGGTGTCTTTGCCGAGTTGTTTCACGGCTGTCGACTATGACGCTGTGGCAGAAGAATGCCAGATGCCAACAGCACCACAATCACGTGTAGCGATAGCAACGTCATAACTCAGTCTACAAGCTTTGCCCATGCCTCACCTAGAAACGGGTACGTACTTCTTACTTTGACACATCCAGCATGGAATCCTTCTGCCAGGCCACGGCAGCGCACGCAAAGATCGCTGATCCCTGGGGCAGCCCATGTTGAGCCACATTCGCAGGATCTGCCTCAAGGCAAGTGCAGACTTCTTCTGAACTGTGCAATGTCGTGAGCAGCGACACACTTAACAGCTTTGAAGGAAACAGACACTCATCAGAAAGCGCAGCCAGCAGCAGTCAAAACATCAGAAGTAGCTAAGTCGCACTGGGAAATTCCGCTGTACGAGGACACCCAAACCACGCAGGAAGTGCTCTACCGGAATGCTGGCATTTGGGACCTGGAGAAATGCAGAGGTCGAAGTCTTCATCAAACAGCAGAGACATCGTTTCGACCGGCTTCCAGGCGCGGCACAATCTGCAAGAGCTTGATTGTCATGCATATCTGCACCTCGTGGGCACGAGTTGCAGCTGTGCAAATTGGGAATCCTGAGGATTCCTGAGGGCCCCACAATGCCAGGTCGCTGCATGCACTGCGCGAGCATTCTACCCATCTGTTCCTCCTTGAGCTCGAAGCCCATCTCGAGAATCATCAATGCCTTAGGCGTTGATTTTCGTGTTTCTGAGACTTGTTGCAAAGACAAATTGATTCGGGGCGTGCCTGCACAATTCACAGATGCTTTGGAATCCCGCCCTATTGCTGCCTAAGAATTTCCTCAGGCCCAGGCCGTCCGAATGCAAGAAGTGCCTGGGCACGCGCGCTTCGCGCACGGTTGCAAGAGCAGTGGAAAGGCTCGAGGCAAATGGGAAGTTAGTGATGTTCAATGGCAAGGGGCGATAGCCGGTATTGAGACGCTTTTCTAGCTTCTTCTCCAGGGATCTGAGATCGTCTTTCTCCGCTCCACTGAGCTTGCCCCTCATCTTCTCCTTCTTTCCTGGCAGGGAACCGCGGGGCAGCTTCGAGCTTGCAAAATTCGCCCTCTGCACATTCTCTACACGACCTAGCTGTGTGCTTACATGCCTAAGGCCCCTCAAATAGAAGCCCTGACAGCGCCGAGCATTGTACCAACGTCACAAAACACATGTTCCTGAACTGCTGCACCATCAATGTGACGTACACTTTCTGTGCGTTCAAGCCCTGCAGGCCTAGTCCTTTCCAGGTCCCCAGGTGCTGAAGCCTGCGCCATAGGTCCTGTTGACAACAGGCTAGACTCTGGCACCTGGAGCTTCAATAGGAGAGTCTTATGCTTAGCCTCGCAAGCTGCAGAAAAAGGCGTAAGCAGCAGTCTTCCGTTCTGACTCGCTTTGGGCAGACGCCACGTCTGCACGAACAGAAGCTTCTGAGCTGTATCAGCAATTCTTACTAGTGCTACGCTTGCAGCTCCTCTGAGGAATACGTTGGAGATGGAATACGATTCTCATCTCTCGAGGCGCTACGAGTCCGAGACCGCCTCAGGCTGAGATGACGTGAGCGTGCCCAACAGGGCTCAACGTGTCCATCTTTCAATACAAAAAGACTCATGATCGAACTCGGTCCAGGATGCCTGCGGCGATCTCTTTCACGACTTCTGCCGCGGCTTTTTTCTTTGTCTCGATCTCCTTTTTCTCGATCTCGCGACCTGCACACCGAAGTCTGCCACAGCTTCCTGAAATCAAAAGCGCTAAGCCCTGACAAAACATGCAGTAAGCTTGCAAGTTTCTGCGTTTTTGTTGTCGCCAGCCAACCCAGACAATTGCATGAATGGGCTCAGTGTCCCAGACGGTCAGCCTCACATGACAGGTCACCCTCCCCACGCTGCATGCTACACTGGTAGGACTTATGCTGGCTTGCACGTCGCCGGACGCAAGAATGGTGGGGCGCTGCAAACACGCACTAACTTCGCAACGGTTCTGTACAGCGCGCCTATGCCTGACGGCTCAAGACTTGCCGCCGCGGCTGTTACAGTCGACTTCTTGTCAGACCCTGGGGGGCTGCTCAATTCAAACTATTGTGGAACATGAAAAGCCACAGTAACAGGAGATCTAATCATTCAGTTGAGTGCCATCCCGGAAGAGCTTGACATCACATCATTCCAACTCTTGCTGTTCCGGGATTTCAGGACTTTCAAGTTGAGTGGCTATATTAGGCTATTTCGGTTCAGCGACAATCGTCACACAGCACTCCACCGCGCTTCTCCTACTTCAGCCAAAAGGTGAGTAGGACAGCCCTGTTGTCGGTACACTACCCCCACCTGCGTTTCCTGTGCTTCGACTCCCGATCTGCAGGTACCGCAGTGGACATAGGTGGCTTTCGCGGCTGTGGGCGTATCTTGAATTCAGTAAAGGTTTTGCGTCAACCTATAGATCAAACAGCCCGACTGCGGCACCTCTTCTTTCCTCGATCCCGATCTCGGTCCCGCGCTTCTTTCTTGGTCTCCCGCGCCTTGGCGACATGATGCGACATGAAACCAAACAATGGAAAGATGGCCATTTGGCAGAATTTCTTTGAGTCGCTTACCTTCTTGGCACGGTCACTCTCGGCGCTGTCCGACATCGTTTCCTCCTCATACTCGTATTCATATTCACCTTGGTCTTACTTTCAGAACTGGAAGGCTGCTCGTGAATCCATTCGGACGCTTTTCCATTCGAATCTGATGGAGCAAGCAGGCACTCTCAAAATTAGAGCACCACCCTAGTCACTTGCGCAAGCGCAAAGCTTTTCTAGGCATTTCCTCTTCTACCGTTCCGGAATAAAGGCGCCCCATTTTGCTTGCCAGCAGCTTTCTTCCTCTTCCTCCGTTTCTTGCTTCCTGCGGCCCATAGCAGAGAGGAGGACGACCTGTTCAAATGTGGGGTTGACTCACGTTATCTCACCTTTGGCAAACAAGGATAAACTGCATCTGGGCAACTGCAGCCCCTGAGGGCTGGTGAAAAGCCCCCGCAATGCTTTGGTTAACCTCCTCCTTTGAACCAAAACTTTTTGCTTGCGCCACACATGCATGAAACAACTACTAATGCCAAGCAAGAACTTATAACACATGCAAAGGTTGCACAACCACAGCACTCATGCCAAGCCAATACACACGCTGACAGCAACATCTGAGTGTGTCAACGCCTGCCTCGCACGCTCCGACCTGCTACGCAGCAAGCAGAAGGGAAAGGTTCTGGCTAGATTTGGAGCCAGCGCCAGGCTGCAAGCCCATCACAGCATTGCCGGCTTGAGCAAGCATAAGATCCAAGTTGTACTGAATGAATGTTTTAAGAGGTTCCCGCTTACGAGCGGAGCCCTCCTGATTTTGAGAAGCTGCGAATCTATCACAAGACACAGGACACAATGAGCTAGAAACCCCTTCTTCTGCTCTACTATCGATGAGCCGTTGCTGGAGCTGAACGGTTCATGTGTACCAAGTCCCTGGCAAGCTTTTGGCCATGGCAGCTGCAGCCCAGGAAGCACCCCTGCAGAATGAAAGCGCAAAGCAAAAGGGAGAGCTCAAGCAAGAGCACTGGAAAGTGCACTCTGAGCTGCACGCTGAGAAGATCCAGGTGATGCTGCGGCATCACTTGGCCTCTGCAACATTCCTTTTGCACCACTCTTGCTACCATACGCCGACACCTGTTTCGATCATGTACGATCCCTGCTGGCTTCTCAGGGCTGCACACATTCGAAGCCAGGCGCGGCTCCACCAGTCTCAGGGGTCCACTCGGAAATGCGCAGTCTTTAAATCAGGATATCAGGCTCCTTTACACCCTTGGGCTGTAGTCATTGGAAAGTTGAGAACATTTGAGAACCATTTTCGGCCCTTGAGTCGACTGCTCCACCAACGCTGTGACTGAAGGCCCGACAGGCCCCCCGAGCTATTTGAAGGCGGTCGTGAATCCATCCTGAGTGATGTACAACCATTCAGTCGGGAGCGCTGAGAGTTGCCCTCAGGCTCTGGCAGTCCAGAAACCTTCCAGGTTTGAGCTTCGTTTAACCTCATGGTCCATAGCGCTTAACGATGAACGTTCAAGGCGCAACCCTTTTGCCTGAGCAAATGCAAAGCTTGCCAGAGCAGGGCTCGCGCGTGCTAAGAGGCGTTGTGGCTCGCGAGTCCCCGCTCCTGATATATGTGTTTCTTCGTGTAGACGACGGTTTGCAAAACGGTGGAAAGTCACGTGGGACCCGCAGTCAGGCAAAGATATGGACCAGATTGACCAATTGTCAGTCCCATGCTAATTAGAGTTCCCCATTAGTGGTCATTAGCGTCAGAGAGAAAGAGACAAGCGCTGGACATAGCTGAGAACCCTGCAGCATTGGCAAGCCGGTGCCTTTGGAAGGAAAGGAGTCGCCAAGCCTTCAGCGCACGGTCGTGGTTCACACAGAGCCAAACACATCATAAACACGCAGCTAAAAGCCAAACAAGGCACACGTTGCTGGAACCAGCAGTCGTTGCTCTAGACTCGCCAAACCTTGGCATGGCGGCTGCCATGGTAAAATCAAATCTAGCCTAGCTGTCAAGATACGGTAGGGTGCTTGGCCGAAATCTCATAGCGAGTGCTGCTCAGACGGCTTGGCGGCGTCAGACTTTTGTGACTTGAATCGCCAGAAGTAGGCTTTTTCAACTCGACAAGGGACAAGCTCGTGAGCAAATCAAATTTTGGCTACATACTTGCAGGTGCTCTTCTGCACCATCCTCATGGAAACAGCAGACACCCGACACCGTAGAAACAACAGAACCATCATCATCAGCAGCATCATCATCATCAGCATCATCATCTATAGGCATTCAAATCATCATGTTTGGCTCCAAATGGGCTGCGCACATGATTACTGCACGTGGATCACGTGGACGTGCCAGAAAGTCAAGTGCTTTTGAAAACCCTGGCCCATGAGCCATCTCACAATTTCACCGAGGCCAGAGTAGACATTCCTATTTCCCCCACTCCCCCCTCCGACTCCTTCCCGAAAATATCTTTCCCTTGCAGCCGGACCATGCAGAAGTGTTTTCGAAGGGTGAAAGCTTTGGCCCTTGCTGGGGCGGCTTGTCTGTGCTGCCACAGACCAGGACTCTTCTTGGTGCACAGCACAATCGATAACACTCTGGGTGCCGGGCAATCCAGCCGAGCTTGCCGTGGTCGCACGTGACTCCCCGTGCCTCTGCAGCTACGCATGCAGCATCCCAAAAATTTGTTGCGTGCATGCTGAGATCCATTCCAACCGGCTGGAACCATAACCGCGGGCTGTTTCTCGCCCAGCCTTGGCATATTCCGACATGCCGTTTGGAAGCTTAGGCCCACATCTCCTGGGCAAGACAGTAGCACATGAGGCTGGCCAACTGGATTTAAAAATCTACAGCCAGGCGGCCTCTCGAGGCTCTAAGCCCAGGACAGGCCATTAGAAATCTCCTTCTGAGTGGGGGAATCGTCTGACCTTGGAGTTTACATGTTAGCATTGAAGCCGTTCAATTCAGGTTGCAAGCTTGGGACTTGTTGCTTGGCGCCTGCTGTGAGGAAACCGTGTCCACCAACCTCGCTTCAACCAACACTGCTTCCTACTCGCCGTGCTCGTGCTTTAAGCTGGAAGCATGCTGCCGGCCGCTTCCTTCTGAGCTGGAGATTCTTGCAACCTCAACGGCAGGAAGACACCTTCACAGAGTCCCAGCACCCACCAGCAGCCACTAGTTCCAAATAGCTTCCTCGCCCTGCAAGACCGTGTACAAACAGCGTCTGCCAGCCACTCCTTGTCTGCCTCAACTCCTGGAGTGAACTTGCAGAAAAGTTTCAGAAAACAATGCTGGAATTCGCGGAATGCCCTTCAAGCTATCGTGCGCAAAAATTCAAGTAGCAACACTCAAGTAAGCGAAGAATGGACATCGCTCATTAGCACACAAATCTCAAGGTTATTTGCACGAGTTGAAGATTGAATTGCAACACGAATTGCTGATTGGCAGAAGGTGATCAAAGCGCCCATCCGAAGTACAGAAACAATTGTACCTACAAACATGCGCTGTCCGAGTTCAGAGCTACATACGTGGTGAACACAAGCTGGACATTCTAGGTGTCTGTTAACAGTCCCTTCTTTTGACCTTGTCGTTCAAGACAATTGCCCCAAATCCAAAGCTCTTCAAACCTCAGAAAACTTCGGAGGCAAGAAAGATTTCTCTGACTTTCCACACAGCTTCCCCATGCTTGAGACTCCCAGATTGCCAGCAAGCCGTTTACAGCTCACAGCTCTGCGTTCATACCAGGCCCCTTTAGGCTGCAGGCTGTTGAGGCCCCTTTAGGTAGACGGCCTCTCACAGCTCGGGCGCCCAGTTTGGCATTTATTCAACCCCGCACTTGATGTGTGTTCATACATGAACGTGTTAAGGGGCGCCCACTCCCTGACGCACTTTCCGCAGACGTCAGCACACTTTCCATGCCCTCGCGGGCAATGTCGGTAGTTTGGGCCGTGGAGCGCTTTCTCATGGGCGCGCTCTAGCGAGTTAAGCACAAATTTGTGCACAAAAATCTTCCTTGCACGGCTCTGGCTTAAGATGAAGCATGCACACCATGCACACGGCATGGACACGCCGAGAACGAAGTCAGGTGCTAAACCCTTCAACAGCTCGGGCACTTCCTGGGAGCGCGGCAGATTCCGCCAGGCCACCAGACTGCCGCCACCACCACGAATCAAAATCCATTCAGGAAGGTGGGTTCAAGCAAATGAAGCATTTTTTGACACGTGTACAATGGAATAGGGAAACTCAGGTAGACAAATGGTCTCTCTGGCGTAGCAGCAGTTCAAAGAACACACTAGTATAGGGAAATTGAACTGAAATGACACACCATTTGTCTCAGACATGTACTTGATTTTTTCTTCTGGCCCACCCTTTCGTGCTCCACGCTGCTCTCTCCTTCGACTCATGCCTTTCAATCGTCTGACTCGTGCTTCGCTTTCGTCGACGCATTCGTGTGACTGACGCCGCGGCCCACGAGAGGCTGTGTTCCCTCATGTTTTTTCTTGGTGCTTACCATGAAGGCAGCCAGGACGGTGGTGTACAAATGACCTTACGCATATGTCTTGCATTTTCTGTCAATTATAAGGCGAAGCCAGAATGGTTTTGAGGAAAATGCCTGTTTGAGTTACTTGCTTTCTGTGCCAAGGCGTCTACTTACCCAGCTACTTGGGCGTAGCTACAGCCACGTGTACTTTCAAGTGCCTTGCCAGGAATAGGGCGCAGATATCTTTGCGTGAATTTCCCCGTGTCATCGTGTTCTTTGAACTGCAAGGAGCAGGAGTGGTGGCCTTAACATATGACGTTAATTGAATATCCCCGTGCCACTGTGTTCTGTTAATTACAAGGCCAAGGTGTCTTAACATTTCTCCATTGGAACCATGTGCCACTGCATATGTCCCTCCGCAAGATCAATCGCTGCACGAAGAAGGAGGCACTTTTCAGCATGCACCTTGATTTAAATTTTGTTTCACTATTCTTCTGAGCTGCAAATTGTGGAAGGGGTAGGTGTTAAATAAATGTATTTACTTGAGTTTCGCTGCGCCAGACAGGCAAAATGATGAAACATGAACAAAGTGATGAAAAATCATGAGAACTGATGAACAATGATGACAAATGATGAGACATAATTAGCAATAATGAAAATTATAGAAAATCATGAAAAGTGAGGAGGCTGACAATGATGGAAAAGAACGATGAAGACAACAAAAAGTATGAAGCCTGATGTTGAAAAATGATGGGAAATTCTGAAACCAAGAATCTACATTGAATAACTTTGTATGCCGTTTTAAAGGTTCCCCACCGCTGTGCCGCGTTTCTTGTCATGCTCCTGACTAAAACTCTTACTCCTGAGTATGCGCCA